TTCCCGTAAAAGGCAAGAAAAAATATGCATGAAATAATTCACAAAAATCATTCTAACCTAACGAAAAAAATTTTCATTGTGTTTGTTTATTATAAAATTTTTGTAAACTTATCTAAAATATTTTTATAGATTTTTGCAAATTAAATTTCGTTTGTTATAATAAATTAGTAAGTTTTTCCCAAGGTTCTTTTGGTCATAAATTTTTAATTTTTAACTTAACGTAAAGAACAAAATATTTTTTAATTCTAATTCTAAATTTTATAAAGGACTTAATATAAATGGTTTTTTGTAAATTTTCCATTTTACCCCATTCGGTACGACATTATAATATATAAATTTTTTTATATATATATTTTATATATATATATAAAAATTTATTAATATATATATATATATATATATTAAATATTTTATATTTATATATATATTTATATATATATATATATATATAATATATATATATACAAATATAATATAAATATATATAAAACAAATTATATAATATTTTAAAAATTTTATATATATATATATATATATATATATATAAAAATAAAAATTTTAATAATAAATGTATATAAATTATATATATTATATATATATTATAATTATATATATTAAAAATATATTTTATTATATAATATATATAATATTTATATATATATATATATATATATATATATATATATAAAAAAAAATGTATATATATATAACATAATAAGGTAGTAGGTTGGTAGACAGCAACCACCCAGGGGGAAATACTTTCCGTCCTGCCAGATGACTGTGAAACAAAAGCCTTAAATGTTTTTTCTGATGGTAGGATTGTGGTTTTTTTTTTTTGTCTATGACACCTAGATAACAGGGATATCTTGCTCTACTACTTTCACTTTTGGGCACACTTCACAGAAAAAGCAAAAACATATATTTTTAAAAACATACATCTGGTTTTTTTTCCTTTTTTTAAATAGTCTTGTTCTTTTTTTTTTTCTTCTATTTCCATGGGAAGGGAAAAGAATCTTTCCCCCCGTACATGCGTGTCGTAGAGGGACTGGAATCCGGGGAAATGGGCTAGTAACCCCCTTCTCCTGTATACATTTACTAAAAAAGAGAAGAAGAAAAACTTTATAAAAACTGGATGCTTAAATGTGCGTGGATGTAGTGCAGATGACAAGAAACAGATGATTGCTGATGTTATGAATGAAAAGAAGTTGGATGTCCTGGCTCTAAGCGAAACAAAGCTGAAGGGGGTAGGAGAGTTTCAGTGGGGGGAAATAAATGGGATTAAATCTGGAGTATCTGAGAGAGTTAGAGCAAAGGAAGGGGTAGCAGTAATGTTAAATGATCAGTTATGGAAGGAGAAAAGAGAATATGAATGTGTAAATTCAAGAATTTGTGGATTAAAGTGAAGGTTGGATGCGAGAAGTGGGTCATAATAAGCGTGTATGCACCTGGAGAAGAGAGGAATGCAGAGGAGAGAGAGAGATTTGGGAGATGTTAAGTGAATGTATAGGAGCCTTTGAACCAAGTGAGAGAGTAATTGTGGTAGGGGACCTGAATGCTAAAGTAGGAGAAACTTTTAGAGAGGGTGTGGTAGGTAAGTTTGGGGTGCCAGGTGTAAATGATAATGGGAGCCCTTTGATTGAACTTTGTATAGAAAGGGGTTTAGTTATAGGTAATACATATTTTAAGAAAAAGAGGATAAATAAGTATACAAGATATGATGTAGGGCGAAATGACAGTAGTTTTGTTGGATTATGTATTGGTAGATAAAAGACTGTTGAGTAGACTTCAGGATGTACATGTTTATAGGGGCCACAGATATATCAGATCACTTTTCTAGTTGTAGCTACACTGAGAGTAAAAGGTAGATGGGATACAAGGAGAATAGAACATCAGGGAAGAGAGAGGTGAAGGTTCATAAACTAAAAGAGGAGGCAGTTAGGGTAAGATATAAACAGCTATTGGAGGATAGATGGGCTAATGAGAGCATAGGCAATGGGGTCGAAGAGGTATGGGGTAGGATTAAAAATGTAGTGTTAGAGTGTTCAGCAGAAGTTTGTGGTTACAGGAAAGTGGGTGCAGGAGGGAAGAGGAGCGATTGGTGGAATGATGATGTAAAGAGAGTAGTAAGGGAGAAAAAGTTAGCATATGAGAAGTTTTACAAAGTAGAAGTGATGCAAGGAGGGAAGAGTATATGGAGAAAAAGAGAGAGGTTAAGAGAGTGGTGAAGCAATGTAAAAAGAGAGCACATGAGAGAGTGGGTGAGATGTTATCAACAAATTTTGTTGAAAATAAGAAAAAGTTTTGGAGTGAGATTAACAAGTTAAGAAAGCCTAGAGAACAAATGGATTTGTCAGTTAAAAATAGGAGAGGAGAGTTATTAAATGGAGAGTTAGAGGTATTGGGAAGATGGAGGGAATATTTTGAGGAATTGTTAAATGTTGATGAAGATAGGGAAGCTGTGATTTCGTGTATAGGGCAAGGAGAATAACATCTTGTAGGAGTGAGGAAGAGCCAGTTGTGAGTGTGGGGGAAGTTCGTGGGCAGTAGGTAAAATGAAAGGGGGTAAGGCAGCCGGGATTGATGGATAAAGATAGAAATGTTAAAAGCAGGTGGGGATATAGTTTTGGAGTGGTTGGTGCAATTATTTAATAAATGTATGGAAGAGGGTAAGGTACCTAGGGATTGGCAGAAAGCATGCATAGTTCCTTTGTATAAAGGCAAAGGGGATAAAAGAGAGTGCAAAAATTATAGGGGGATAAGTCTGTTGAGTGTACCTGGTAAAGTGTATGGTAGAGTTATAATTGAAAGAATTAAGAGTAGACAAAAAATGGGATAGCAGATGAAAAAGGAGGCTTTAAAAAGGGTAGGGGGTTTTGGGACCGGGGTTTTCAGTGAAACAAAAAAGTGAACAGTTTTTTAATAAGGTAAAGAGGTTTTTTTTTGTGGCTTTAGGGATTTGGAAAAGGCGTATGACAGGGGGATAGGGGGGCAATGTGGCGATTTGAAAGTGTATGGTGTAGGAGGTGGGTTTAAAAAGCGTGAAGAGTTTTTAAACGAGGATAGTGGGCTCAAAGTTAGAGTAGTAGGAAAGGGGGAATTTTTCCCGAAAAGTAGGCCTAGAAAAGGGATGTTGAGTACCAGGTTGTTTAATATATTTATAGATGGGGTTGTAAGAGAGTAAATGCGAGGGTCTGGCAAAGGCGTGGATTTAAAAGATAAAGAATCACACACAAAGTGGAGTTGTCCAGCTGCTCTTTGCTGATGACACTGTGCCTTGGGAGATTCTAAGAGAAGTTGCAAGTTTGGGTGGAAATTTTGGAGGGTGTGAAAAAGAAGAAAATTAAAGGTGAAACAGGAAGATAAGGTTATGAGGATAACAAAAAGATTGGTGATGAAAGATTGAATATCGTTGGGGGGAGAGAGTATGGGGGAGGTGAAGTATTCAGATTTTTGGGAGTGGACGTGTCAGGGGAGGGGTCTATAAAAAGAAGGTGAATCATAGAATTGAGAGGGAAAAAGAGTGATGGGCACTTAGGGGTCTGTGGGGACAAGAAATTTGTCCTTGGGGGCAAAAGGGGAAAGTATGAGAGTAAGTTTTACCAAAGCTCTTATATGGGTGTGAACGGGGTGATGAATGTTGCAGCGAGGAAAAGGCTGGAGGCAGTGGGGATGTCATTTGAGGGAAATGTGTGGGGGGAAAATAATCAGAGAATTTTGTAGTTTGAAGTTAGGGAGGGCGGGATTACCCAAAACTGTTGTCCCGAGGGCTGAGAAGGGTTTTTGAGGTGGGTTTGGAAATTTGAGGAATGGAGCGAAACAGAATGACTTTAAGAGTGTATCAGTCGTAGTAAGGAAGGGGGGTGGGGTCGGGCCCAGGAAAGTTTTAGGGAGGGGGGAAAGGGGGTTTTGTTGCGAGGGGCTTGGACTTCCCCGCAGGCATGCATGAGCGTGTTTGATAGGAGGAATGGAGACAAAAGGTTTTTTTTTACTTTACGTGGTTGGAGTGTGAGGAAAGTAAATTTATGAAGGGATTCAGGGGAAAACCCGGGAGGCCGGGCTTGAGTCCTGGAGATGAAAGTACAGTGCCTGCACTCTGAAGGGGGTGTTATGTTGCAGTTTAAAAAACTGTAGTGTAAAAGACCCCTTTTGGCAAGACAGTGAGGAGTGAATGATGGGGAAATTTTTTTTTTTTTCGGGCCACCCGCCTTGGTGGGAATCGGCCTGTGAAAAAATAAAATATATATATATTTATATAAATATATATATATATATATTTATTTAAAATATATTTTATATATATTATTATATAAATAAGCGCCGAAATAGGTAAAAATGGATAATTACAAAACTCATTTTTAAATTTAAATCCTTTTGATTTAGAATTAAAAAAGAAT